ACTCATTTTCTCACATAATTTAATTTGTCCTATTTTCTCCAGTGGCGTCACAACAAGATACCAGCTTGATAAAAATAGAAAAAAATATGGTACGCCACTGCTTTTTGGTAAGTTTGAAATTTTTCTCAGATTTAGCTATCAAAAATACAACTTTTTTGTTATTTACTTTTTTTCCTATCTCGCTTTGTTTAGACAGAAATAAAACTTTTTGTTTCACACAGTTTATTGTAAGATAATAAAAAAAATAAACAACACGGTATGGAAAAACAACTTATTGTATAAATAGACTTCAAAGGAGCTGTTGGAAATGCCCGCCATTTCGTTCTACACACAACTTATAGCGACATATCAAAGACCGCCTAACGTCTCTCAAATGATGTGGAGTTATTCTGAGAGCAGCGTTCCGGATTCGTCGTACAAGTTCCTCTTGCGAGTTAACAGGCGTAGAGTAAACTGCATCCTTAATAAATCCCCAAACAAAAAAATCCAAAGGTGTTAGATCAGGCGATCGCGGAGGCCACCCAACTGGACCTCCACGATCCACCCATCCCATCTCTGTAGATACTCTGTATTCAGCCAGTTTCGTACCACCAAAGAGTACTGGGAAAGGCATCCATCTAATTGAAAAAACGAGTCTATTCTTTGTTGAAAATGAGCATCATCTAGCATGTTTCATGCTAGGTAGTTAAAAATTCAAGAAATAATTATTGACCGCTTAATCTATTGGGCAGGATGTAAGGTCCCAACAAAAAATCCTTGGCAACTCAAAAGCAGACATATTCACGGCACACTTTGTAACAAGTAAATAAATAAATTAAGCAAATCTCGAACCTATTCATGAAAATGTTTTATTTCTGACTAAACAAAGCGAGATAGGAAAAAAATTAAATAACAAAAAACGTTGTATTTTTGATAGCTGTAAATCGAAAACGACGCATCTATACATATATGCTTACATGAACTTATTTTTTAAAGAACTTAGTACAAGTTGTGAAAGTCCTGCTACAAAAAACGCGAACACCCTGTATATATTTGCTACATACGAATGCCCAGTATTATAACCTATACTTCGGTTAGAGGGTGTGGTATATAACAGAATGGCAAAATTACATAACAGTATTTAGCTTGTTCTTATAAGTACACCGTGTCCACCTAGTGCGCGTAAGTCCAATATCTAGGTTAATGAAAGACATAACTTAATTTTTTTTCTACAGAGTTGCCTACTTTCCCGAGCTGCACAAAATGAAAATATATTTGCATATACAGGGTGCTAAGTTTTTCCTGGGCAGGTACCAACTTAATTTTTTTAAATGGAAACCTATATTTTTATGGCATTATCGAATTCTACGTGAAAAATTAACGGGTCTTTGTGTTATGATCCCCATTAAAATATTGATAGTTTTAGAGTCACTTCTAGTAGTTGACATAATTATGATTGTATGACAGCTAGAAATAATTTTTTTTCAGGAACTGTAGAGTGAAGATGGCTCTTTCAAAAAACGTATCAAAAGTTGACCTGTGATATACAGGGGGCAAAAAAAATCGTGCCAAACTTGATAATTTAAAATTTGAAAAATCTCGACTTTTTCAAATAGAACACCCTGTATTTTATGATTTCATTAGATGCTTTTCTGTATTTTTTTAATAGCTTTCCCTATACCTAAGTTGCGTAGTTTTTGCAAAAAAAAAAAACATTTTTATATAAAATACCGAATTTGCGCCCGTTCATTTGTCGGGAAAAATATTGTAAGGGTATTTATTTTTATTAAATTTATTAGTTGTCTAGCTACACTATTTAAAATAAAAATTTATAACTGAAAAATTTAGATATTTGAGTTTAATAAATAAGTCTTTACTTTAGCATAAAATCGCTACAAGTGATTAAGAATTAGCAAAATATGGGAAATGTTTGCTAGCAGTACGTATTTACAAAGCAAATAATCCAAATTTACAGACATTCCCACTGTTTTGAAAATGTGAAGGAAAGGTTTTAATGAACAGCAAATGCAAATTATGAGAAAACTACCATGAGACATGAAAGTAACAACGATAATATTTAGTATAATGTTGTGGCGTCTGCTGTTGAAAATCCAAATATTAGTGCCAGGAGGAAATTAGTAGTAACCTTGGAGTTTTCAAAAGCTTGGCAAATAAAATATTGAAGTTTCATCCGTATCATATTGAAAATCAAGCACTGTTACCGTAGTTAGGAAAGTTATTAGTGAAATTGGAGATTAAAAAATTTGAATGAATAGAATTTTGTAAAGAAATAATCGCAAGCTAACTTAAAATAAATACCCTTCAATATTTTTCCCGATAAAGGAACGGGCGCAAATCCGGTATTTTACATAAAAATGGATTTTTGCAAAAACTACGCAACTTAGGTATAGGGAAAGCTATTAAAAAAATGTAGGGTCTACAGAAAGGCATCTAATGAAATCATAAAACACAGGGTGTTTTATTTGAATAAGTCGAGATTTTTCAAATTTTAAATTATCAGGTTTGGCACGATTTTTTTTGCCTCCTGTATATCGCAGGTCAACTTTTGATACATTTTTTGAAAGAGCTATCTTCACTCTACAGTTCCTGAAAAAAAATAATTTCTAGCTGTCATACAATCATAATTATGTCAACTACTAGAAGTGACGAAACATAAGAAAAAAAATGAAAAGTCGATTATCTCGAAAACTGTCAATATTTTAATAGGGATCATAACACAAAGTCCCGTTAATTTTTCACGTAGTTGGTACCTGCCCAGGAAAACTGAACACCCTGTATATGCAAATATATTTTCATTTTGTACAGCTCGGGAAAGTAGGTAACTATGTAAAAAAAAAGTTATATCTTTTATTGACCTAGATATTGGACTTACGGGCACTAGGTGGACATGGTGTATACTTGTATACTCCGCCAATCATAAAGAAGATATTTTTTCGGCACCTTAAATCATGATGTAGTGATGCTGCAAAATCAAGATTACATTAAAACATATGTTCTACCGGCTGGTGATTGGTGCAATTTTTCACGAAATTCTATTCAACCAATCACCGATCGCATTATCTCGACCGAAAGCGTAACGGTTTGTCATTGTTCATTGTAAATGAGTCATTAATATTAGTGACGTTAAGTTTTAGGGATTTTTGGTCCACAGTACCAGACGTGAAATGTTACGTAGTTGGTAAACATTTATGAAGGCTCTGTATCTTTATGGGTCTACAGGTGCAGTTTTTGGTTAACAAATGAGCGGTTTTAGGGAACAAATGAAATATTAAACTTTGGATTCATTTTCAAGATTTGTGCTTCAAGGAATCTGTTAGCTCAACGAAGTTAAACCTAGATATTAATTTGGCAGTTTGATGACATTTTTTGACGTATCGAATATTTGTTTTTTAGGCTTTCTTATTTATTAAGTTGGGCTAAAGCATATACAAATTTTATGCCGAAACAATGAGACATTTAGGGATTAAATTTTTTTCGTAAAAAAATTTACGTATTTTATAATTATAATTTATCAGGATCTGTTCAAAATTAAACATATTTTAATTTAAATACAAATTTTAGCAACGTTTACGAACTGCCAAATGAAATACTCTATATAAAAGTTCCTATTTTGCACACATGAATATCTTGATAATTATTGTACAACTTGTGTCTCGACAGACTTTTGCAGTGTGTATCATTTTCTTTAACATTTCACAAATTTAAATCAATTCATGTGGAATATACAGCAATAAATTTTAAAAAAGAAGCGGGAATTGCAGGTTATGCAGTCGTTCTTTAAAAAAAAAACATTATAAAAACTTAATTGTGGTAGGTATAAATATAATTTCCTTAACTTATTTTGAGTAAAATAAATCTAAATAGACTTACCCACCACACTGAGGTACCCTCTTTGACTTTTCATAGGGTCTGTATTTATTTGACACATATACCACCCATGATCTGATTCTCGTACATCCTTTATATGTAATCGCCAAACATCGTTTTCCGTGTGAAAAATTCCAATGCGATTATTCTTCGTGATCACATGATTATGAATGGTAAGGATAGTTTGAGTATCCACCTTTAACCAGGCCACCTAAAATTAATA